ATCCTTCGTTTATCGGGGGATTTTACACTCGGCTAGGAAGGGACCCTCTAGAAACTATATCGCTATTAGCCTAACCTCCTAGTATAGAAGGAATACTTATACTCGTCGTATCTATTTATAGGCGTCTTTATTAATACGGCGATAGGTAAATAGCTCGAAATACTAATAAAGGCGGCGCTAGTACTTATTATAAGACTATAGCCTTTTCTCTCGCGATATTTTAAATATCTAGTCGAAAAAGTTTATATAGATCGTATAGTCCTCTAGAAGAAGGTAGTCTATATAGTCCTTATTCGACTAAATATAAAACCTATACTCGCGAGTTATTTCCTATATATAATACCTTATTTTAAGAATTTCCCTACTCACTTTCGCTAGTAGCGTTCGACGACGGTAATACCTAGTAAAGTCCTCGGTTTAAAGTTTAGAGGTAGCTATCTAAGACTACGGAAATGTTCTAGTCTAGTTCGAGTTTCCTCGTAAAGAATAGGGTCGGTCTAGTATTAGTGTTTATCACCCTAAGCCAACCGAATAAGTATAGGTGCTATAGTAAAAAGCTAGGGTAAATAAGTAGGGTTAGAACCTCGAAATACGGGCAATAAGGTTGTTAAGGTCGACTTAGGGAGTGGGGGTTAGGGATAAGGAGAGAACTGGGAGAACATGAGAGAGGGAGGAGAAGAGGCATCTTATAGGCGCCTAGCCAGGCAAGACGAAAAGCGAGGGCGCCTAGGCGGGACTGTAAAAGGGAGCTATTTTCGGCGTCGTTTTGGTGGTAGGTGGAATCCAAGGGAATGACTATTGAACGGCGCCAAACATCACGGCCGGAAGAATGACTAATGGCGCTAGGTGGGTGCGAAATAGTGATGGTACTGAACGGTGGGCGGTGAAGCGCCGGCTCGCCCTCCAAAGTTACGGGTGGAAAGGCGGCCGTTTCTGGCGCCAAAAGTGGTCATTTTCGGCGTCATTTTCACAGGTCCTCATATTCTAGTTGTAAAGCCAGGACACAGTCCACATGGGCTGACCTAACCGGCGATCCACTTGAATCACATGACCATCCTTATCTTATCTCCTGGTGGCTCCAACCTTGGAAGGTTTAGTAACGTCGGAGGACCAATCACACTCTCTTCTTTGCAATGTACCAGCCTCATTAAGCCGTTCGGCAGTTGTCCAACTCCCACACCAATCAACGGACATCACGTACCTCGGTCTTCCAGATGGCGCATGCGTGATATCTGCTAACAAGTGCGCGGGACTTGGTGCGACAGGTATTCAAGAAGAGCTTCATGTGGGTATTTCCCCCGAGGCGTACCCAGTGACACTGCTAGCGCCCCCTCTGAAGGATCACCAGGTCCTCATCTGCAAGGGTGCTGAAGCAATCTTTACTACTAAAGGACATGGCAGATGGGCCTCCTTGGACGAAATATTGCATGGCAGACCAAGGCCATCGTCTGACTGGCGCAACCGGGTCATGCTATTCATGGACGCCCTGGAACTCGACCTTGTTGACCGCGCCCATCCAAACGGTGGAGAGAACATTCCCGACCTTATGCCAGGCTATCTACATCGGGAATTGGTGAAGGCCAACACCGCGTTCTGCTCACATTGTTACAGGAATACCCGGAAACCCTACTCCTTTGTTATACTGGACTTTGGGGCTGCGGCGCCTTTGGGGGAAATAGACAGGTTAAGGCGATAATCCAGTGGTACGCTGCATCCATAGCAATGTACCAGAGCTTCGATATGTCCTAGGTGGCGCAGAGCAGAAAGTATTTCGAGATGAGCTCGAGAGGTTCGTCGACCGGGTGGCAGAGCACACTAGAAGAGGCTTGGAGCCACGGAAGCTCTTTGATGTGCTTGTCTGTCTGGGTACGGACCTCCAGAATGGGAAAGCCGCTGTTCCCAACCCAGATGAGATTTTCGAATATGTTTTAAAAAGCCTGTAGGGAGTATTGGCTCTATGCTCTGGTGAAGATTACCGGGTCACCTTGTTTCCCGTCTCATTTCCTTTGTAACCTGGGAGCTTCACAATTTTTAGATCGCGAATAGAATTCAACTATAGGTAGACATTACCTCGCAAGACTCCTAATCGTATCTGCTACATTAAATCCCCTAAAGTCCTGCCTTGGGACCTTTGTCTGTCTGTCTAATTGCGTTATAATTAGATACTACATCCTATTTTGGGCCAACCTAGTGATCCTAGGTAATGATGAATTGAGGCTCTATATAGAGGATTGTGCTGTTGAATTAATAGAAGAGAGCTGTATATGTATAAGTACTTTTTAACTGAAACTATAATATGCCACTTAAATGGTGCTTTTCTAATATGTTTTGACGTCTTTGATTCTACTACCTGTACCAAGAGTGACAACATGGAATAGAATATAACATATCATTAATAAGCGTAAAACTAGTATCTAGCAATTCATAGTATATAAAAAACAAAAGAGATCCAAACCCTCAATCTCTTCCTTCCCCAAATCTCAATCCAAGATAAAAGAAGAAATTAAGGCAACTTATCCCTTATAGCCCTCCCTAATCCCCTATAAGCCTTACCAAACAAAACCCCAAGAAGAACATTCTCCCCCTCAGAAGCCGTCCAACGCCCCGCATCCGTAAGCCTCTGCTTCTAAACACTCTGCTCGGACGTAGAAAGATCCTTCTAAGATTGCAGCTTCTCCTCTTCGGACTGCTCGGACTGGCCCGATGCAGACACAGCACTCTCAATAGTCACGCTCTGTTCGGCATTTTGCCCTGCACTTTATTCTTCATGGAATTTATTTTGTATACACTATACCTCCTAAGTTAGTTCACCCCTGGCTCGTACCATTGGCAGTATCCTAGTACGGTCATATAAAATAGCCTAGGATAATTTTTCTCGCTGTTGCTTACGACACCGGTCTGCGTATTAGAGTTTACGAGCATTGGAGGGTTCACGCCTACGTATCGTTGATAAGTGGGAACACAATCATGCTATCTTCAATCAATCATTAATCGTAACTGAAGAGATAGACATGGTAGGAGTCATGAAACCTGAAAATATCGGCGGAACTACATTAGTAGATGAGTGGTATAACCAAATGGTCGCTTAATTCACCACCCTCAATTTAACGTCGCTAGCTCTCATAAATGAGATCATATGATCTAGTAGACGATCTGCTTATTAAAGCCGTAAAGAAAGGCTATACCCGACATATAGGAACGCCTAAATTGAGTAACCAGCCTCAAAGGTTTATATCAGCCAGAAATACACTTCCCCGTCCCGTCATTTCCTGTATTTACTTTCTAGCTATAGGGCCCACCTTAGTTTTACTTAATAAGTATGTAGCGAGTTAGAAAGCTAAGTAACTTACTCCTTTCTAGAAATTACACTTATTTTACCACTTACTCTATATAGTAAGCTTTTAGTATTAGTTCACACCAGTTCTCCTTATTCGACAGATAGTTTCTTTAACGAGATTAAACCACTCTCCGATAACTTTCGGGTCTTCGCATTTCGCACGTTCGTAATTATAGCGTCTCGAGAACCGGGAAGAAAGGAGAGGATGCCGTTCTATAAAATTATATACCCATTTTTCGCTAACCGAAAGAACCGGGGTTATTCCGCGCGCCGCAAGAAGAAGGTTCGCAGTTTCTCGTATAGTAGAAGGCCGGGGGGCTACTCTACGATCATCAAGAGAGAGAATCCATTTTTGAAGAGATTGCTCTTCAATTTCTGTCAATTTATACGAATTTGCGCGTGTAGTGCTTCGTTGAGTATGGCCATTAAGACGGTCGCGTAATGTTGAACGCGGTATATTGAAAGTGCGGGCAGCGGCAGTAATATTACTGATTTCTCCATTTTTAAAAGCCTGGATAGCTAATAAGATCCTACCCTCTTGCTCTATTGAGTTTCTAGAGGTTCGGGAGCGAATTGGTGGCATAGTGTATAGTTGAATTAACTAGATACTAACCAGTTCATGGACGCGTTTTGGGGTAGGGTGGCGGCTCGCTTACAGTGGCCGCTTACCGATTACGTTAGTTAACTAGTTAACGTATTTCACTACCGAGTGGCCATCTCCAAAACACATAGTAAATGCAATGTACAAACAGCACAGACATGATGCTTTTCAAGGTGCTGTTTGCACTTATGTATCGCATATTTAGAAATGATGTTAGTGTACACCAATTGAACCACATGTACATCGTGACTTTCCTTTTTGATTTTCCTTTAGCTATGCATGAGTAAATTGATGTTATGCTTGTGTTGTGCTGAAGCATATTTTATATGGAATTGCAACGCCAAAGATAGCTAATCCTTCTAAGTTGCTATCCGGGTGGGTCACCAACACAGCAAGGGTGTCTTAAGCGCTTGGGAGGATTAGTGACAATGCACGTAATGGAGTTTATCTCTGAATGCACCCCGAGGTCTCATTATATTCTTTATATGCACGTGAGGCTGACCAAAATGAGAGACAAAGCCTCTTGTCTCATTGGAACTGGTCAAAGAGACAGTTTCTCTTTGACGAAAAACGCCCTAATTGGGATGCTCATCTTTAACTAGACAAAGGGATAAGTGACTATCATGATCAGTAACACAAGACTCGTTTGTAGCTAGACAAAGATCAAAAGAATCCCATTGTCTATATTTCCTTGGAGGACACCGATTGATAGTTCTAAAGACCGGTCACTGCCCCCGATGCATCTAATAAATAGCGTTGATGTACCCACCCAGCAGTGTCCAGCAATCACAGTGGCACTTTCCCTCGAGTCCTTTCGTGATCCTCTTCTTCAGACAGAAAGAGCAAAGGAGGGCGTTCCTTGTATATTCAGCCAGCACAATACAAACACCACGGTAACCTACCACCTCTTCCTAGATACAAGCTTGTTTACGTTCTAACCTTTGCTTCACATACACATATCAATGCTGAGTGAAACCATCAATTGCTATTGCTCACATATAGTTACCTATCTATCTTGTATCTCGATCAAATCTATCAGATAGTACAAGGTATTTTATCAAAATGCCTTCTCCGGCTAAGGTTTGCCATATGGCTCCTCTGAACACTGTGTTAAAGTGCGATGAAGACTTACTTAAATCTTCTTCAACCCAGGACGCCTCGCTGGACGAGCTTCTTCGCCGATGCGAGTTCGACCGCGCCGAAGACGTCGAAGACACTGCTGTCAACTGTCATTTGCCTATGGCCGCTATACCAAGATCCTCGCCCAAGGCAAAGTGGTACGATGAATCTTTCCCAACTCTCCATTGTGTGCCTACCGGTCGATCTGGGCCATCCTTTTCACCCCTGTACGAAGAAATTTGGGATGAACGGTCGGGCTGGGCTCATGGAACTGCACAGACGGCTTCAAGCCCTTCCGAAGACCAGACCGAATCCAATGAGACCACCAGCTCATGTTCGAGTTACGAGAGCCTTCTTCCCAGGAACGAGTTTGGCCGGGACCGATTATCACGCACCGCGGAATCTGAGGACTATTCGTTTGCACAGCAATGTGTCGATAACATCTTTGCTGATCGCCAAGCCTGGATTGAAGCAGATGAGGAGATACATCACTTCAATTGGATGGGCATACGAGCTTACACACACAGCTCAACTTCCCCATCTGATTCCCTCGCTATTATATTGGCGAAGCCCAAGAACCCGCAAGGAAGTGCCATCTGGAGAATTCAATCGCTCCTGAGCCGAGCACATCACTACATAGACCCCGTTCTTGTACTTATGGATGGCACCGACAATGGCTTGTTCGAGCTCCGAGGATCGGAGCTTGTCCGTGCATCAACTGGACGCGTCTTCAAATTCTACTCACCACACGGGACATGGTTGGAAGATCCCAACGACTCGAGCGAGGAGACCACTACTGACTTTGGGAATGTACGTACTTACGACACCTCGCATTTGGCCTTTGGAAATGGATTCGTGGAGTCTAGCCCAATCTCATCAGTGGCAAAGTGGCTAGAGTCTCGGGATAAAGCCTTTGATGGCCCCGGAATTCAGCGTCCCCGGAGGATGACTTGGGAGCGGAAGCCTTCGCCGTTGAGCCGATGTGAATCAATCTGGACAGAAATAACCCCCCAAGAAATACAGCCAGTTGCAATCAAAGGGCCAAAGAAGCCGCCATGCAAGATTACGACTTGTGTTATTGGGGCACCACCTGAGGAGTATTTTTCATTCCCGACTCCTGTTTTTAGTCGTCGTAGGGCGATCAAGCAAGCATTTGCAAAGGCTCGGCAGGGACTGGCGTCTGTGCTCACATCATTGAAGGACAAGCTCACTTAGGTATTTGCCTATTTTGTCTTCTGATCACATTTCCCAGGTTGTTCTTATTTTTTTTTTTATCTTTCTTGCTTCTCGAATCTCATTTGGATAGGTTTCACTTTCACTTTGGTTTCTGGCCACCGCACCCTTTGCGTGAGATCAGAATAAGCCACTGTTTCCTTTTGGCATACACAGAGAGCTTCGATATTTGGATTTTGTTGTTGACGAAATCTGAAATTCTTCTAGAAAAGGTCAGGTCGTTGTCAAGTTATCTTTCATTTCTTTTATCTGCCAACTTACTTTTGTGTTACTTTCATATTTCCATGAAAGCTGAAAGCCCATCATTCCTTCGCTTTATTTTCCTTTGTAGGAGTTGTCAAATTATGAAGCTTCATTGTTTATATGCGGATGACACCCATGTTAAAACGTATGCGTCCCTATCAAATAAGTTATCAATGCTCATACAATATCAACTAGACAAGCAGAACGCGTACATCTTTCCAAGTTTAAGTCTTATAAGGAAGACAAGCGGTTGGGTATAAGTAATTATACATACTTCATGGCCCGAGATCCCGTCTGGCAACCAACGTTGGCAGCGATATGACAGTTCAAATATTATCTGATGCAATCAGGATGGCTTAACGCAAAATCAATCATAAGCCTCCTCTTCAGCTTCTGCTTCCATTCCCACGTTGCATACAAGAGCACATTGGACACTCCCGGTTTTGCCTTTATGATCACCTATCCAGTTTCCGTGGGGAGAGTAGAACTTGAAACAGGCTTATATCCTGACAGTATCTTCGGCATGGCCACAAATTTTGTTGGCATGGGCAATTTGCGACTCGACGTGAGGTGTCCGTGGTAGACTTAGTACCTAACCACTGTATTGTTAGCCTTTATTCCCCAGCCTTATATACCTCTTGGCCGTACCTGGAAGAGCGCATTTACTAAGCAGATGCCCATAATACGACGCTACCAACACGACTGCCTTTGGCTTAGCTTGCATGAATACAAGCGACACAGCTGGTGGATGTTGCCATCCTCGTTGCCAACCAATGTACGGTATTCATATTCGTTAGTCGGCTCATCTGACACCAGGGAACTGACTGGCTCTTTGGCTCGATCCGGATTTTCTGTTATTCCAATATGACAGAACTAGCACGAGTAAAGGACACGCCTATCCGCTAGCTGTAGGATCGTATATGGGGATACGATATAACAAATGGTCAAAGAATATATACGCATTTATAAACGGAAGAACAGATATGGAAGAGAGTGAGGAAAAGAGAAACAGGGAGGGGGAGATGTGGCTGTCTATATAGGTCCTGACGCATGGGTGCCTCAGGCCACTGGACATTCTTTCAACGCATGACAATCCCATCTAATTCACTGGCCATCAAAGTCGACCTATGGTAAGCCTCGTTTTTTATATCCTTCCTCCTCATTCTGGGGTCCAGTGAATCCATACTCGAGGGTCATGACCACGGACCCATTACCCTGTCTGTCATCATCACCGACCACGCAAAGCTCATGCAACCCTTCCCTCCAGCAAGACTTAAATTTCCTGATAAAAAGGACTAGTTAGTTTAAATATGTGTTGCATTGTGCCTGCTGACGGGCTGCAGCCCCCACCCAAGCTATTGAGGCCCTCTCGCAGACCTACAACTGGACCGGGAGCATAACAGAAGCGCAGGTTATCGTGTTGTCCTACGACTATCTTGTTATGTGCCTGCATTTATGGCACATACGGTTCGAAGATGAACTAAGGTAGCATATGGTATCCTATACGTCTGTTCGAGCATAAACAATCTACATATATACTGTGTAGCAAGCCTACAGGGAATAGCAAACTCCGGAGATCAACATGCATTGTTTTTCTGCTTCTCCTTTTAATACCTAAGGAAAAGTCAGAGGGAGGTGACCTGACTCTGAGTATGGCCTCACCAAGAGGTCCCCTGTTAGTGACAATGATATCTGCAAACGAAAGTCAAATCCCCAAGCAACTAGCTGCAAAAGATCAGTGAAGTAAATCAGGGTATCCAAGCACGTAAAACAAAGCCAAAAATAACCCAACCTTGAAAAGGACAATAGCCCTTAAGTGAACTGAATGTCACTTGAAATTGACTACATTATGAGGACATATCTCAGTGCCAACATCTGAACCTTCTCCTCAGCCCTCGGAATACCATATTCTCATGTTTGATACAAAACCAAATCGTTACCTTAGTAAGACGATAATGAAAGAAGCTCCGGTACAAATATGTGTGGGTTGAAAATGGTCTTCATGAATTGCCAGGACTTTCCCAAGACTGCTCCCATGATTCCAAGGGGGAAAATGAAAGCCTTGCGAAGGTCGACACTAGCAGTAGCCCAAGCCTTTTTTATCAGATGGCCATGATGCTAAGTTGGGAAGAGGAGGTTGTATCGGGAATGGTCTTGGGGCCAGGCCAAGCCTTCCTGATCGTGGTCCCCATGATGCCAACGGGGAGAGCAACCGAGTTGTGAAGAATTCTCTTCGTGGGGGGCCAAACTTTTTGGATAGCCCTGGTCACAATCTCGAGTGGGGCAAAAGAGGATATGCGAACTAAAGTGTTCTATCTGATCTATGGCTACCATATGTTGACAGACCTATGTTTGGTATAGCAGGTTCAGCGACCCCAGGGCTGGGGTTTGATTGTTGTAGAATACATATAGCAAATAGTTCACCTATTGGCGAGGCGTTCACTCGTCTATGCTCTAGATCAATATCATCACACATGAACAGGGCTTCCAAATACATGTTAGATAGACTCAAACAGATGGGCACAATAGAAGCCTGGGAATAATAAATCCATTTCCATTTTATACCATTGAGTGAAGTCTCTACCGCACTATTAGGGAATATTTGGCATAGAACAATTAGAGATCTCCATGAATGAGATTCTTTTTCCACCGGTGACGGTAAAGTTAAGCATTGTGCGGATGATGGTTATGATCTAATTTCTACTATTTCAAAAGCAGATAACCTTGAACTGTTGCCAGCTTCCCGAGTGTCCTTTTTTTTCGGTTGGTATTTAGGCTTCGCAGTATGTGCTATGTAGGGTAGATATTTAGATAGTCAGGTGGACGGTATATGTGCGAGGCCACTCGGGCAACATGGCCATTGATATAAGTCTTACTAAGATCGAACGTATTTTTTCTAGATATATTAGACTATCCGTGGAATAAGTGACTCTCCCCAAAGTAGTGCTATATTTACCTACCATATTTACCACCCAGGATTACTCCACAGAGTAGAAATAAAAGCACTGAAAGAGAACTAGTGAGCAAATCAATTTTAATGGTGCCATCGCCGCACTAGCTGCTTCAATTAGGTTATGCCCGAGCTACTCCGTACGGATCACACTAAATTCGGAGCTGCCAGCCGAATGTTATATACTAAGATTAGGAAGCTTATATTCAAATCCAGTCGAAGAAAATGTGAAGACCTTGAAGAAGTAAATGAATTGATCTAAGAAACATATGCTATTCTCTTATCAGTTTTCATTCATCGGGATATAAAGTGCTTTCTTTCCATTGAAATCATACATTTCTTATATCGAACTATGGGGAGATGCGTAAATTCCCACAATAATGACACCTTTTCCTAGAATGAAATCACCAGCTAATTCGTCGCTTTGATCGGTCTAAAGTCGAATTTGAAGGCGAATGCACTACTAACAGAATCCTGTAGAGATAAGCTCATCAAACCGCCTCGGCACGCCATCAATAATTTAAGCACTTGCCACCCCGAAGTCACGCCGAAGATGCGCCTCTTAGTGCACTTGGCATGTCTTGACCAAAGTGTAAAGAAAAACATATTCTTCTGAGTAAGCCTTTCAGTCGTAGTCATTCTTGCTGCTTAAAATTACAAGATTTCTCATTTATAGGGGTTTGTAAGGAATATTCTCAGCGTGTTAAGATTACCGCCACCTATATAAATTTTGACCAACTTTAAAGCTCTGGCGTACTTTTGTGTTACAGGGAACTTGTTGCCATTCTGGGTGGATCTATCGTCAGCTTTTGCATCCTGGCTTGGGTTTCGGCGCACGTGAATAAAAAGAGTGGGTGCGAAATGATATTAAGAACACAGCTTCCCGTGTTTTTCTACCTCCCATACCGTCCCTTTTCCTTTCTGCGCATCAGCTTGAAAGTATTTCAGCTATGGCGAGCTCCGAAGATCCTCCTAAAGATCTAAATATATTGGAGGCGCCTGCGTCAGATCTCGAATCCGAACACATTAGTCAGGATCCGGGGGAATGGCTGTACAAATCGGACAGAGCAGAGCTCACAGAGCTCACACCAGTTGAAGCGTTTAAATGGAGCGTGGAGGGGGACCAGTCGCCTTGTAGGTTGACAATTGACCCATCTATCCCAATAGGCGATGTTAATGCCTCTTAGTTCCGGAGGTTGCGGCTTGCGTGTCCAACAAAGATGATCCTACCATCGCCTGCAATAGTAAGCCATTGATCCTCTCTGTTAAGTGAGCAGTATTAACTCCCCGCAGCTGTTCGGGCCTGGATATTGATGACAATCTTTGTTATACTTTTCTCCGGAGTCAACCAATTCTTCGGCCTACGATATGTATGTTTCAATTCGCTTCGTTTGGTGCCTACTGACATCCCCTAGCCTTCCCTCGTAATAGGCTATGTTGTCGCTCAAATCCTTGTTTTTCCAATTGGCCGAGCATGGGAGAAGCTTCCAAGATGGAGGGTCCCTCTAGGAAAGCTTTCCTTCGATGTCAACCCAGGGAAATTTACTATAAAAGAGCATGCCTTCATTGTTATTGTGAGTAACAGCAAAGTTTTACATTGCGAAATTTTCATAATTAGAAATTACATCTAACGACCCAAACCAGTGCGTCAATATTAGCGCTACCACTGCTTACGCGCAAGGCGCCTTGGTAGCAATCGTCAGTCCTGTATATTGGAACCGCGACCTCGGAGCTGGCTTCTCATTCCTATATCTTCTGACAACCCAAATGATTGGGTAAGTGAATCCTG